GTGAAGAAAACAGGACACCAAATACAAGCCAGAGGGGGACTCCGTTTTCTTTTCTTGTTACAGTTGGGTGTCACTCCGTCACACAGGCTGGAATGCAGTGGTGTGATCATAGCTCAGTACAGCCTCAAACTCCTGGCCTCATGAGAGCAATCCTCCCACCTCAGCCTCCTGAGTTGTTGGGACTATAGGTACGAGCCATGCGCCTAGCTCACTATCTTTTTAATTAAAAAAAGTTATTTTAGGGACAGAGTCTCACTCTCTTGCCCAGGCTGGAGCGCAGTGGTGTGATCACAGCTCACTGCAGCCTGGGAACTCTTGGCTTCAAATGATCCTCCTGTTTTAGCCTCCTGAATAGCTGAGACTACAGGCACGCACCACCCTGGCTGGCTAATATTTGAAAATTCTTGTGTAGAGACAAGGTTTTGCCACGCTGCCCAGGCTGGTCTTGAACTCCTGGCTTCAAGTGATCATCCTACTTTGGCTTCCCAAAGTGTTGGGATTACAGGCATGAGCCACTGCATCCATCCAGCCACATCCTTGCAAGAGACAGAAGAAAGACACAGACACAGAGGGGAAGGCCAAGTGCCGACAGAGGCAGTGATGAGTGATGCAGCCGCAAGCCACGGAATACCTGGAACCCCCAGAAGCCAGAAGATGCAGGAAACATCCTGCCCTAAAGCGTTTTTTTTTTTTTTTTTTTTTTTGAGATGGAGTCTCCCTCCATCACCCAGGCTGGAGTGTAGTGGCACGATCTCAGCTCACTGCTACCTCCAGCTCCCGAGTTCAAGTGATTCTCCTGCAGCCTCCTCAGTGGCTGGGATTATAGGTATGTGTCATCATGCACAGCTAATTTTATTTTTTTTTGAGATGGAGTCTCTCTGTCACCCAGGCTGGAGTGCAGTGGTACAATTGCAACTCACTGCAAATACCTCCGCCTCCTGGGTTCAAGCAATTCTCCTGCCTCAGTCTCCCGAGTAGCTGTGACTGCAGGCGTGCACCACCGTGACTGGCTAATTTTTGTATTGTTAGTTGAGATGGGGATTCGCCACATAGGCCAGGCTGGTCTCAGACTCCTAACCTTGTGATCCACGTGCCTCGGCCTCCCAAAGTGCTGGGATTCCAGGTGTGAGCCACCGCATGTGGCAATTTTTCTATTTTTATTACAGACGGGGTTTCGCCATGTTGGTCAGGCTGGTCTCAAACTCGTGACCTCACATGATCCACCCACCTTGGCCTCCCAAAGTGCTGGGATTACAGAAGTGAGCTACCATGCCCAGCCTCCTCATGCAGTTTCTACTGAGCAAATGCCTTCCTGAGCATGCTTTGTCAATGTGACCGGTATAGGAGGTCACACTGCTGCGAGGCTCTGGCAGGGACCTTGGGCATCCTCTGGTGGCCTGAGTCTTCCCCAAGCCCCATACTTACTTAGAGTCGACCTGGGAGCCTGGGGACAGCCCTGCATCTGGGCCAGAGGATGCGTCGCCTGACTTCTTCTTCTGGACAACCGGCCTCTTCGAGTTTTGATCTCCATCCGTGGTTTCCGATGCAGGCTGCAAGATGGTGGAGGAGGGGCTGCTAAGGAAAGGCTGGCAGGCCTGTGCGAGCCAGGGAAGCCTCTGTCCTACCGTCACTTCCTATTTTTTTTTTTTTGAGACCAAGTCTCACTCTGTCCCCCAGGCTGGAGTGCGGTGGCTTGGTCTTGGCTCACCGCAACCTCCACCATCCCACCTCCAGGTTCAAGCGATTCTCCTGCCTCAGCCTCCTGAGTAGCTGGGATTACAGGCGCATGCTACCACGCCTGGCTAACTTGTATTTTTAGTAGAGACGGGGGTTGTGCCACATTGCTGTTACCTGAGCCTTGGCCGGGGACGGGAGGAGCTTGGAGACGTCGCTCGTGGAAAAGGAGATGCGCCTCTCCCTGCGAGATCAGAAATGTGGCTTTTACTGACCAAGTGAGTCGGCGCCGTTCTTGTCTTAGCGGTTCTTGGGGTCTCACTTGGGCGGTTCTGCCCCCCCCACCCCAGGGGCACTTGGCAATGTCTAGAGAGTTTTGGTTGTCACCACCGAGGTGGGGGGAAGGAGTGGGTGGGTACTTCTGGCATCTGCTGAGTGGAGGCCAGGGATGCTCCTCAGTACCCTAGAGAATGGTCTCCACCCCAGAGACTGACCCAGCCCCGGATGTTGACAGTGTGGAGGGTAGGAAACCTTGACTTAGCACAAGAGACCCTGTCTATCCGTCTGTCCATCCGTCCATCCCTCTGTTCATTGTCTCTGTCTTCCACCGATCCATCCTCTTTATCTGTCTTCCATCCATCTCTTCCTCTATCATCTCTACCCATCTTTTTTTGAGACGGAGTTTCACTCTTGTCACCAAAGCTGGAGTGCAATGGCCCGATCTCAGCTCACTGCAACCTCCGCCCCCAGGTTCAAGAGATTCTCCTGCCCCAGCATCCCAAGTAGCTGGGACTACAAGTGGGAGCCACCATGCCTGGCTAACTTTTTGTATTTTTTTTTTTTTGAGACGGAGTTTCACTCATGTTACCCAGGCTGGAGTGCAATGGCGCGATCTCGGCTCACGGCAACCTCCGCCTCCTGGGTTCAGGCAATTCTCCTGCCTCAGCCTCCTGAGTAGCTGGGATTATAGGCACGCACCACCATGCCCAGCTAATGTTTTGTATTTTTAGTAGAGACGGGGTTTCACCATGTTGACCAGGATGGTCTCGATCTCTTGACCTCGTGATCCACCCGCCTCGGCCTCCCAAAGTGCTGGGATTACAGGCTTGAGCCACCGCGCCCGGCACTTTTTGTATTTTTAGTAGAGACGGGGTTTCACCGTGTTAGCCAGGATGGCCTCAATCTCCTGACCTCGTGATCCGCCTGCCTCAGTCTCCCAAAGTGCTGGGATTACAGGCATCAGCCACCATGCCCGGCCGAGCCCCTGCTCCATTAACCCCAAGGAGTGTAGTTTAGTCCTGTCCATCAATTAGAACTCAAGGCCCAAGACTGCTAGGGAGTGGGAAAGCAGGGCCTGACCTGAGGAACCACCTCCCCAAGGCCGGGGTCTTTCTGTATGAGCACAGCTCCTTCAGGGCCTCTCAAGGCTCCGGGTCCCAGCCTGGGCCCTGGCTGGGTGCCTTGGCTTCACTTGGCCTTTTGCATGCCCTGCTCGTCCTCCTCCCTTGGGGCTCCCACATACCCACTGGGTATGATGACTTGTGCTCCCGGGATGTGTGGCACCGCCCCTGGCCTGGACCCCGGTGCTCAGACAAAGAGGCTGTAGGGCTTACTCTGTGGGCGTGAGGGTGGCTCCCGCGACCCGGTGTCTGTCGCTGAGGTCCAGGGACTGGCTGAGCATGGTGCTGGGGCTGGTGGCGGCCACCAGCTTCTTGCCCCGCCACAGCTCCACGGCGTTGGCCAGCCGCTCGGCGTCCAGGTACCGCTGGATCTGTGTGGAGCCCCCAGGGCTGTCGGGCTTCTCCTGAGCCCTCAGGCTGCCGCATGGTTTACTACTGTCCTCGGGGGTCCCAGGGGCGCTGCTGGGGGCCGGTGGGCTGACCCTGCCGTCCAAGGCCAGGCTGGTCGGCCGCTCCACCTGGCCAGGCCTGGGGCTCCCACCCGGTGGCGCCTTCTCAGTGTCTGTGGAGACCCTGCCGACTGCCATGGCCGGGGGCTGTTCCGTGGGCTGCTTCTCAGATGTGTCCTCAGCCTCCGTCTCCACGACTAGAAGGGTTTCATCTTCTCTGCTCTCCTTTTCGTCTTCTGGGAGGCTCAACCCTTGGTCCTGGGTGACCCTTTTGGAAGGTTCTCTGAGGGCACTCTCCTCCTTGCAAGACTGGACGTGTTTGTTCTGGAACTTGACATGCTCCAGCCCTCTTTGCCGACGTGACTCACGCTTCTCCCGGCTGCTGGGGACTTTCTCGTGACTTTCAGCCACCACGGTTTTCTGTGAGGGGAGGGTCTTCTCCGGGCTTGGGGCCTCCTTCTCGGGTGGGGAGTGCTCTGGGGGGGACCTGTCGCCTGGCCACACCTCAGGCTCCGACACCAGGTGCCCGCCATCCTCTGTAGGCTCCGGCCCCGGCTCAGCTCCCTGCCTGCCGGCTGCCCGCTCCGGCCCGTCCTCAGTGCCTGCTCTTGCAGCTTCCCGGGCTTCTCTCTCCTTCTCCTCCGCCTTCTGCTTCTCCGAGATCATCTGGCTGAAGCTGGAGTGAGGAAAAAGCAGAGAGCTGGTTCAGAAACAAACACTCCCTCCACCTCCCTCCAAGTTCCGGCAGGACCCCAGCCTGACCTCAGGTGATCTGCCCGCCTCGGCGTCCCAAAGTGCTGGGATTAAAGGTGTGAGCCACTGCGCCCAGTCTGTTTTGTTTTAAATTTTATTTATTTATTTTTTGAGAAGTAGTCTTGCTCCGTCACCCAGGCTGGAGTGCAGTGGCACGATCTTGGCTCGCTGCAACCTCCGCCTCTCAGGTTCAAGTGATTCTTGTGCCTCAGCTTCCCTAGTAATTGAGATTACAGACATGCACCACCATGCCTGGTGAATTTTTGTATTTTTAGTAGAGACGGGGTTTTGCCATGTTGGCCAGGCTGGTCTTGAACTCCTGGCCCATGTGATCTGCCTGCCTTGGCCCCCCAAGTGCTGGCCTTACAGGTATGAGCCACTATGCCCAGCTTGTTTTGTTTTTAGAGACAGGTCTGGCTCTGTCACCCAGACTGGAGTACAGTGGCGTGACCATAGCTCACTGCAGCCTCAATATCCCAAGCCCAGGTGATCCTCCCGCCTCAGCTTCCCGAATAGCTGGGACCACAGATGTGTACCACCACACCTAGTTAAGTCTTTAATTTTGTGTTAGGATGGCATCTTGCTATGTTGGCCAGGCTGTTCTCAAACACTTGGACTCAAGTGGTCCTCCCACCTAGGCCTCCCAAAGTGTTGGGATTATAGGCGTGAGCCACTGCACACGGCCTTGGAGGCTTTTGCATGTGTGGGTAGGGCCTGCTTCGGGAGCTGGGACCTTACTTGTGGCAGAGCTGTGTCTGTGTGGGCAGGGGGGAGGTGCACAGCATGCCCGGGTCAGAGGGGCTGGCCTCGGAGCTGTGGGTGCTGGCGCAGGAGCTGCTGATGTCCTCCTGGGGGGTGTTCTGTCCCTGTGAGTGTTGAGCTAGTCCAGGCATTCCCTCCAACCCTGAGTCCAGGTGTTCCCTGACCGACCCAGGTACAGGGGAGTCCCCGGACAGAGAATGGGTGCAGCCAACGGCAAACCAGGGCTTTGTCCCTGAGTGCTGCCTGCCAGCCTCTCTGCAGCCCATGCGTGCCTGGGCATCTGGTTTCCCACCGACCCCTCCCTGTGTCCAGAATGACATCCCCTTAGTGCCACAGGCCAGGTGATATATCATGGGCAGCAATTTGGTGAGTTACCCTCTTGGCTTCTGGAATATTCTGGGGAGCGTGGGCTGGCTCTGCTCACCTCTTGCGCTGCAGATGCCCCCGGCAGAGGCTCTGCAGGTGGATGATGCTCTGTCTCCGGCGCCGGTACAGCCTCCGCTGCCGGTAGCCCCTCCACGCGGCCTGGAGGTACACGGCGGCCTGTGTCCTCTCCAGTGCCCTCCGCACCCGGTAGGACCGCCAGCAGGCCTGGATGGTGATGGCGGCCCGCTTCGTCTGCAGGAAGTGCCGGCGCTCCAGCACCATCCGGAACCAGCTCTGCAGCAGCAGGATTTTCCGCACCACCTCCCGGTGCAGCGTCTCCTGCAGGGCCTGCCTCTCCGTCTCCTTCAGGAAGACCTGGTGGGCACGAAGTCAGGTGGCATCAGCCGAGCTGCCCCCGACACCACCTCTGCGCCTGGGAGGTCCGCATAGTCCACTCCAGAGTGAGACCCAGGCTGGTGTGCTGACTGGCCAGGGCTTGCTTTATTTATGAATTTATGAGACGGAGGCTTGCTTTGTTGCCCAGGCTGGAGTGCAATGGCACGATCTTGGCTCACTGCAACCTCCACTACCCAGGTTCGAGCGATTCTCCTGCCTCAGCCTCCCGAGTAGCTGGGATTACAGGTGTGCGCCACCACGCCCAGCTAATTTTGTATTTTTAGTGGAGACGGGGTTTCACCATGTTGGTCAGGCTGGTTCTGAATTCCTGACCTCAGGTGATCTACCCACTTCGGCCTCCCAAAGTGCTGGGATTACAGGTGTGAGCTACCACACCCAGCCTATTTATTGTTTTTGCGAGATGGAGTCTCGCTCTGTCACCCAGGCTGCAGTGCAGTGGTGAGATCTCAGCTCATTGCAACCTCCGCCTCCTGGGTTCAAGTGATTCGCCTGCGTCAACCTCCCAAGTAGCTGGGACTACAGTTGCCCATCACCAGGCCTGGCTTTTTGTATTTTTAGTAGAGATGGGGTTTCACTATGTTGGCCAGGCTGGCCTTGAACTCCTAGTCTCAAGTGATCTGCCCGCCTTGGCCTCCCAAAAGTGCTGGCATGAGCCACCACACCTGGCCATGGCTTTTTTTTTTTTTTGAGACAGAGTCTCACTCTGTTGCCAGGCTGGAGTGCAGTGGCGCGATCTCGGCTCACTGCAACCTCCGCCTCCCGGGCTCAAGCAATTCTCCTGCCTCAGCCTCCCTAGTGGCTGGCACTATAGGTGTGTGCCCACAGTGAAACCCCATCTCTACTAAAAATACAAAAATTAGTCAGGTGTGGTGGCAGGCACCTGTAATCCCGGCTACTCGGAGGCTGAGGCAGGAAAATGGCTTGAACCCGAGAGGCGGAGGTTGCAGTGAGCCGAGATAGTGCCACCAGACTGCGCGACGGGGCGAGACTCTGCCTCAAAAACAAAAAAAATAGGCCAGGCGCGGTGGCTCACGCCTGTAATCCCAGCACTTTGGGAGGCCGAGGCGGGTGGATCATGAGGTCAAGAGATCGAGACCATCCTGGTCAAC